TAGCTGTAGAGGGCAGTGTCACTGGCCCTCATATGTGGGATCCGAACCAGGGCCCTCTGGCGTCCCAAGCCAGCTCTTAACCAACGTGCCACTCGACTGGCCCACATTTATTTTTAAATGTAATTTAAACTCAGAGGTACCACGTTTAATTAATTTATGTAGAAGTTGTTGAAGTTTATTTTAAAGTTAATGGCTGCATTGGTGATAGGTATTTGTGCAGCAAAGACAAACATCATTTGTGTAGCAAAGCCCAGATGATGATAAAGACCAAAAATTGTTTTTCATGGTTAGTTATATTTAAAAAAATAACTCAGATGTAGATGTATTTTTGCTAGTGAATTTGTTTTTATGTGCTTAGTGAATTCTCTATTGTATGTATAGTTAGTAAAATTACCCATGTCTAAGATAAAATTATTAAACTACAGAGCACCAGCACCATGTTAATCATCCACATAGTAGCCAAATATCTCCTTTTAATAAATCAAATGTAAGTGTTGTTTACTTTATAGTTATAACTTCAGCATTTAATGGCAGTGAAACATTTTGGAAAGAATATGGCTTTAAAATCAGTCCTAGGTGTGAATCCTAGCTCTGCTGCTTACCAGGTATATTGATATTAACAAGTTATGCAACCTCTTTGAGCCCATTTTTTTTTTTCATCTGAAAAGTAGGGTCAGTGATGACTATTTCATGGGGTTGAGATAATTTATGTAAAGCTTTTCATATAGTTCCTAGCATAAAACAGACAAATGGTATAATTAACATTAAAATTGAAGTGTATTACCCTAATGGATATTTTGAGTAATGAAATTTACTAGCTCTTCAACAAATATTCTGTATTTTCTGCTTCTAAGACATGAAAAATAAGCTAGAAAAATGTAAATATGCCTTTTGTGCTCATATTTCGAAGCACATTTATTTTTTAAAAACATGCCATTTAAGCCAGGGATAATCTAACCAGGTATAGAGCAGACTAATCCAAGACTTAAATTTTGTGTTTAAAGTAATGTTTATACTGCAGAGAATTCCATATATACATGGATACCACTACCATCCTACCCTTCTTGTTTAGTATCAAATACATCTAATTCCTTTATTTAATGGAGTGAAAAAACTTCCTTAAATGATTTAACATTAAGCCATTGGATGAATGCTAGCACCTACCATGAAATCAGTTGTAACTTATGAGAAGTTGATCTTAAATTACCTTTCTGATTAATTTAATATACAAGGGAGAAAACAGGAAGGCTCTATATCATTTTATCGCTTTTCATTTGTTTCATCACTATATATCACTTTTCTCCCTCAAGCTGTTTTGAAGGTCAGTTATTTCAAAATAGATAATCCTCCATCTCTCCTTTTTGAAGAAATGAGGAAATGTGCCTAAAATCTGGTGTCAGTAGTGAAAGAAATTTAATGTGACCTCGTTTCTCTGTTTTATTGGAAGTTTTTAAAATTGTTATTATTTTCATTTCAGATAAATTCTCATATACCCTCTTTGAAGGAGTAGCTGATATCCAGGAAAGATTAAAGAAGTTTTGTTAAGAGAAAATGCTTGTTGACTGGTCAAAAGTTTACAAAATTATTTTGGGCCTGCCAACCTTTACTTAAATGACAGTACATGATAAAAATATGCTTTAAAAACACAAATTTAACTACCTTTTTTTTTTTAAGAAGGAATGTTTGTAATAGGTAAAAGTGCTAGATAAGGGACACACAAATAACTGAGAACAAGGACGGAAGCAAATCATTTGTGTGGCCAAAATGGAAATCATAAAATCATGCATTATGGTTAATGTGGCTTATTCATAGGGCATTTACTTATACTTTGACACAACCTAATAAACTTATTTTCTGATTAGAAGGGGCTGTCAAGGGAGGGACTGTAAAGAAGCAGCCATGTCTACAATCTGACATCAAAGGAGAAAATAAAAAAATGAAAAAGAGACAACTAAAAAGTAATACTTATTTGGGCTCATTTAGCATAAGATCGAATAGAAATTTGAACACTCTGATATTTTTATGTGTAGAATGGAGGTTTGTGCTTTATTGCTAACTTCTTTCATACATCCAACTGTCAATATTCAATAATACTAAGTAATTTTCAAAATGCTATGCCTACCAGGGTACGAAAATAAAATACACATTAGTGTCCTCTTCCTAAAAAAAATAACTGAATAAAAAAATTTTGAGTGAGTTGAAAAACTTCACTTAGCTAGAAAAATTCACTTGTATGAAACATTTTCTCCCTGGAGAAAGCCGAGTAAGTGGAAAGTCAGTTTTATAATTAAGTCAACAAAGGCTATTCAATGGAACACTCATAAAAATAAATTTGTTCTTTAAGCAGTTTGGGAAGGCAACTACACCCTTATTTCAGTTCATTGGCTCAAAGTTTTCTCTAAGCAGACCTATTGTGGACTGTTAGCCTCTTGCCACTTTATACTTTTTTTGTTTCAATTTTGGAAAGAAGATTCAACTTAATTATGTGGTTTGTGGTATGTAATTTAAATTCTGCCTCAAAGTGCCATGTGTTTGTGTGGTTTTTAATTTTTAACTGAAACTTTGAGGTCAGTCATAATATTTACACTTCTGAATTTTTTTTTTTCTAGAGGAAAACCACCTACTTTGAGTATGAATGGCAGGAAGCATTCAAGGGTATTTATTTGGACTAGGGTTTTTAGAAGTCCGATTTGGGCCAAACAAATAATTTCTGCCATAGGCTGTTAGTTTTTGACTGTTTGTGAAAAAGATCTGAAAAATCTGTGGTGAAGCTAGCTTTTCAAATTCTAGACCTCAGGCAACCTGAAAAATACAGTGCGAAAGAGCCAGGAAGAAGAGCACTTACTCGTTTTGGCTTTGCTAATCATGGTGCATTTATTTATCCAACTTCTCTTTTTGAACTTTTTAAAAAATTAAGGGCCGGCCAAGTGGCTCAGTCGGTTAAGAGCTGGCTCAAGAATGCGAGCTCTGAGCAACAGAGTCGCCGGTTCGATTCCTGGACCGAGCTGAGCTGCCAACAGGTGGCAGGATGGCTCACCTAAAAAAGTAAATAAATTAAAAATTAAAAGAGTCCTATTGATCACATTAACTTGGCTTTTTGTTTCTTTTTTCAAATTCGAAATAGGAACTCACAGCATCTCAGAAAAGTGGTGGGAATGTTCTTCAGATGATGTACGAGAAGCCTGAGCGATGGTCTTTTACCTTCCAGTCATATGCCTGCCTCAGTCGCATACGAGCTCAGCTTGCTTCTCTCAATGGCAAGGTGAAAGATGCAGAGAAACCGGTATTATTTTTTGAACGATCTGTGTATAGCGACAGGTATGTCTTACTGATATTTATGTTACTAGAAATTAAGACTGAGAAATGGAAAAAGTGTTTATTTATTTAAAATAAGTAATAATAAACCCATTACATATTAACATAAATAATATACTGGTGAAAACTATATTTTTCAAAACAAAAAAATTTGTGAGAAGGGGAGCATTATTTTATATTTTTTGTGAATCTCTTTACTGTCTGACTTAATAGAAGGCAGCCAGATTCCCACTTATGCTTCTATGTTCAATCTGTTGTAATATATTCTTGGTTGAAGTCAAATATATAAATAAAGTAATCTGGGCTCTCACAGAGCCCCTGGAAGGGTCTTGGGGACTACCAGGGGTCCTCAGACCACATTTTTGAGAACAACTGGCCAAGAACATAGTTCCTGTAGTTGGAGATACTCTTGTTTTTTTTCTACTATCGAAGGCATTATCTCCCATGGGTTTTAGGAGAATGTTCCATGTCCATTTAACAGATCCATTGTCTCTTTTCTATTTCTTTGTGTTTTTTGGAAAGGATTTATGTATTGATGGAGGCTGTCTTTCAGGTATATTTTTGCATCTAATTTGTATGAATCTGAGTGCATGAATGAAACAGAGTGGACAATTTATCAAGACTGGCATGATTGGATGAATAACCAGTTTGGCCAAAGCCTTGAACTGGATGGACTCATTTATCTTCGAGCCACTCCAGAGGTGAGACTCAATAAATATTTGTTTATTCCATTAAAAATTTAAATTTAAATTAGAAATCCTTTCAGTGGTATGCAGTGAAGGCAATTTAGTTTAATTCCACTCCCCATCCTGTAGCTCCCTACCTCCAAATTAGAAACTCATAACTGTGTAAGTAGATGCATTCTATTTTCTCAGCGAACTAGAAGCCCAGATTTGGCAAGTTGCTCTTTTAGACTCTTCCCTATTCTTCCTCAGTTCTAGTCATTATTTCTTCTTAACTTTTGCAGGGTCTCTTATCTATCACAGCTAGATTAAGAAACTTGCTCAAGTAACTCTTAGAATATAGGTTTCATGAGGTGAGACTTTGGGTATTTTAATTACTGTTGAATTTCCAGTGCCTAGAACAAGTCCTGGGTACGTAGTAGGAGCTCAGTAAATACTTGCTGAATGAATGGCAAAGTTGATGGAGGTCCATTTCAAGAAATCTTTATGGTTTTGACTTGGAATGGGTGAGTAGTAGCAGCTACTGTTGAGACTTAACACTTGCCTTTTTCAGTTAAGGGAGCTTATTTGAAATTGTGCCTTTTATGATAGATTGTAATATAGTTATTCTTGTTTACGTATGAAACTATGTAATGAATCCAGGAAGACCAAGTGGATGCCTTTTATAAAATTAACATAAATTATAGCTTACATTTACTAACAAATTTCTGGTTTTGGTGCTTGCATTTCCATTTTCCTGTTTTTTTATTTCTTCCCTGTGTCACTAAGTAGGCTCTGATGAATGTTAATGTTAAGACTTTTAGCCCGAAAAATACTGTGCTGTATTGAAGCTGAATTTTCAAAGAAACTAGGTTTCTGATCTAAGTGATGATTTTGTTTATCCTCTAATATCAAGTAAGCCAGAATTTAATAATAAGTTTGAAATTTACTTTTATTTTTGAAAATAATTTTTTGTTTTTAATTACAAAAATAATAAATACAAATATAGATGAAAGAACATAAAGAATGCTAATAATTTTATTCTGTTAGAAACATTCATAGTAAATATCTTAAAGTCTAACAAAAAACTTTTATTTCGTTAATATTGTGATATCTTTGATTAGAGGATCATTTAATTATTTGAAAAGAGGATTTATAAAGACTTAGAAGCACAGGTTTATGCTGAACTTTTTTTTTCCATTTTATAAAACTTATTTCAGATAGAGTATTTCAAGTATGGATGCCAAAAATTGATAGGCTTATTTTGGCTTCCTTTTGAAAGTACTACTTGGTTTAGAGCCACCAAATGGTTGAAAAGTACAGGGAGGGAAAAATTAACTATTTCAACTTTCTAGAAGTAATAAATGGAGATTTTGGCTAGCATAACTAAAGAGATACTAGGGAAAAAAATTTTAATGGCAGCAGACAAGAATAATTGTTCCTCTTCTTCCTCCTCCCCCCTTGCCCCTTCCCTCTTCTTATTGCTTGGTTTTAGAAATGCAAGAGTAGAATATATTTACGGGGAAGAGAGGAAGAACAAGGTATTCCTCTTGAATATTTAGAGAAGCTTCACTATAAGCATGAAAGCTGGCTCCTGCATAGAACGCTGAGGTAAGACTTCCTTATTTTTATTTACTACTCATTTTTAATACTTTTATCAAGTTTTAATTAAAAATGCAGCATGTACAATTTTTTATTTTCGGCAATTTTATTTATTAGTGTTGTAAGATCTCCCAGAATGGGGGATTCTAGGTGTGGATTTTCATTCTTTTTATTGCAATGAGATCCATTACTGTAAAGTTTTTATAGCTAATCTCCCCCAGTGGTATTGACAGAATAATATATGGAATTTCACATTAAGTGTTGAAGTAGGAAATATGTGTACATTATTTAGTTACTCTCTTTCAGAGAGTATTTTAAGATATTTCAATTTTGTTTCATAGGTCAGGATTTATAACAATTGATAAGAACTTAGTGTTTGTCACCAGTCAGATCCAGTGACACTGGTTTACATCCATAGTGTGTGACCTTGGACAACCTCTGAGCCTTGGTGACCTCCTTGAACAAGTTGTGATTGACAACATTGTGATTTTTCAATGATGATATCATAATGAATTTTTAGTGGTTTTTTTTTTTTTAATTTTATTGGGGAATTGGGGGAGGGGAACAGACAAGTTGCTGTCCTTTTGTTCTTCAGTCTAGTTGTGGAGGGCATTGCTTCACTGGCCCATGTTGGTATTATCATTGCACTCTTCCCGGGTGAGGCAATCGCTTGCCGACCACTGGACAGCTGCTCACGACAGTTCATGAAAGCTCATGCTGGCTGCTAGCCAGCCCCACTGCAGCCTATGCCGTCACCTGCGACTCAAGGCAGCCCAGCTCCAGGTCGAGCTGTTGTTCACTATCTTAGCTGTAGAGGGCGCAGCATCACTGACCCTAATGTGGGATCAAACCGGGGTCCTGCTGCTCAGAGCTGGCGTCCCAAGCCAACTCCTAACCAATGCACCACTCGGCTGGCCCAGTGTTTTTCTTTTATTTATTACTTTTTCTAATTATTTTGTTTATCTTTCTTTAAACAGAACCAACTTTAGTTATCTACAAGAAGTGCCTATCTTAATCCTGGATGTAAATGAAGACTTCAAAGATAAACACCACAGTCTGGTTGAAAGGGTAAATTTATACAAAAACTATAAACTAACATTTGTTTTGTCTTGTCTAAAAAAAAGTGTTCTAACCTGTGAGAAAACAATTTTCTAACAAAAGATTACGTAAAATTACATTAAGGGAAGTTAAGAGCTTTAGAAGGATTTAGACTGTTTAGATTTGAATCCTAACTTCAAATTCTAGCTTTGTGACCTTACCTAAAATAAGGAGCTTCTTTATCCTTTATTTTCTTTATTTGTAATATAAAGATAATCACATTAACTAAAGTTTTGTCTCACATGCCTCTGCTTTTTCTCCTTCCCCTCTTCCCTGTACCACCAGTCTTTAGATACTTGGAAAATTAAATTTATATTTTTCAACTAAATTCAGTATGGAGGGTATTTGAAGTCGTAGGATACGGATTTCATCCATTTTTATATTAGTTGAAGTCTGGAGATTAAAGGATTTTTAGTCTGAGTTTTATATGGAAACTTGTCAATGATGAATTGTCATCGCCTAATCATTGAGCCATTGACTTAATCAGTTAATCTATCCCCTAGATACATGGAAGTTGCCTATACTGTAAAGTGAGTAGTACACACATTGATAAAGGGACTGGGAGAGAACCTATTGAAAAACACTTGAGAGAGAATAGTATTGGAAATTAAATAACAAATATCCCTATATCCATGCTGATTAACTTAGCGATCTAAGACCTAAAGAAGCCACATTTTTTTCTTGTTTTAGTTTTGAGAGAAATTTGATTTTTCTTTCCTCCTGTCACAAAATGTCTGCTATTTACTATAATAAGTACTTGACATTCCTAAGGGCTATATCTTAAGAATTTTGAAAATCTCAACATTTATAGATAACTACTATACCATATATTTTCCATGATATAAAATAAAGCATAGTTGGACAATTTAAATGACCTCTTCATACTGTAAATGATGTTAAAAATATATGTAGGATAGAATTCACTTATGATACTATTAAAATAATTAAGTCAGCCACTGCAGTACTAGCAGCCAACCATCATTTTATGTGAATAAATCTGTAAGACTACTTTTTAAAATTTTATCTAACACTTCTGTTTTTTGACTAAGAATCATCATTTTGTATTATTTATTTTTATTTTCATCAATAACGTTAGCAGTGGGCTTTTTTAGGTATTTGTATGTTTGTTTGTGTTTTACTTTTTTGGGGAACAGTGTGTTTTTCCCATCACCCATCAGCTCCAAGTCAAGTTGTTGTCCTTCAGTCTTAGTTGTGGAGGGTGCAGCTCAGCTCCAAGTCCAGTCACCATTTTCAATCTAGTTACAGGGGGCGGGGTGGGAGTGCAACCCACCATTTCATGCGGGAGTGAACCGGCTCGTGCTCTAACCAGCTGAGCCACCTGGCTGCCCCTTAGGTATTTTTACAAGACAATAATCTTTGTCTCTTCAGGAGAAATACTGTGTAGTCTAGAATATGTAGAGAACAGAATCTTGTTGCTGTGATGTTGGTCAGTTGGCTAGATTCATTCACTGTTTATGTGACCCTTCCTTATACATTAACATTACAAAATGTATGCATGATTCAAATTTGTGCTTCAGAAAAATTACAGATCTGTTACATGTCTGGACCTTCAGAGTTGTTTAAACCAGTCTAAGGTTTTATAAATATATTATTAAATAAAATTAAAGACTATAATATTAGAGGTTATGGCTGTTATAGAACTGTATCAATCTTAGACATAAATTTAATAACTCCTGTAATGACATTTTAGTTCATTCATCTTTTGCTACTGAAGTGTTAATGTATCTTTTGAAAGGAAATACTATAGCTTTGTGATAGAATTACATATACAGTTGGGTGTCTTCATCTGTTTTATACTGTTAAATGAAGATGAATATTAAATATCTCAAATTAGTCAAATAATTATATTAATATATTTTCCCTTTCCTCAGGTCAAAGAATTTCTGAGCACTTTGTGATCTTGCTGAAGACTACAACCAGTGAAATGTTTCCAGATGCTTCAGCTTTGTCTATCATTGAAGCTCCACATTCATACACCTCTTTAGAAAACCCAAGTTTTTAATCATTTTTATTCCAAATGCTAAAAGTTTGTGACCAGTTTCTTTTCTTTCTTTCTGTCTTTTTGTTTGTTTTTTGTTTGTTTAAACAAAGACATTTAATTATCTCTCACGACAAAAAGTGTGGAGGTAGATGGTTCCACAGTCAGTATAGTGGCTAAACTATATCCTCAGGGACCCATCCCTCTGTTACCCTCCTCAGCAGGTGGCCTGTTTTTTCTGGTGCTTCTTATCTCGCTGGTGACCAGTTTCTTAACTGGAAACTTTAATGTTACATAGTAAATGGTAATGTGTCCTGTGTAAACTTGCAAAAAGTTAAAAGTGGAATTTAAGCATTCTCTAGAAAAAGGATTAAGAAGTTTTAGGTACATTTGCTCAAGTGCCTCCCTTCCACCTTAATTTATGTAGCAGATAAGACCAGGTTTCGTATTTAATCACTTTACTGATTATTAGTGTGTCTATGACATTATATAGGAGCAGGTTAGACTTTGTTCCCAGTTTGTAATGGCATAATGTATCATAAGTCATTTAATCTTTTTCCTGCCTTTGTTTCTACATCTGTGCTATGGATGAGACTTCATCTTTTTGCATGGGATTTTGGATGATTAAAGAGGAAGTGTTTCTGTATTTAAAAGATAACTGAAAGTTACTACATGAATAAAAGATTTAATTTATATGGAGCTTAAAGTAGCTACTTGCTTTCTCCTTTCTCAGACCTTTTCATTTAGAAGGGAATATTACTGTTATGGTTAAAAGATTGGTTTAAAGTGTGATCATCTTTAAATCATTTGAGGCGGAAGTATAGTTTTCCCTACATTCCTCCTTATTTTTATAGGTAAAATGTTAGTGGAACATAGTAAGGGATACGTTTTTCCATTTATTAACTCTGTACTGGGAATGAGTAGTCTCTTATTACCTTTATACTTCCTGAGAAGTCAAAAGAGAAACTGAAGACAACATAGATTATCTTCCTTGCAGTTTAGTTTGTTTAGTCCCAACTGTTATTCCCTGCTTCAGCCTGCTTTGCCCACTGTCTGGATTAATTAGGCAGCCTGCTGTTTTAAAGTCACACATTTCTACTTGAGAACATTGTGATTATTCTTTCTTCATAGTTTGCTTTGTTTCTCTGTAGGTTTATACCTTAATTTTCTCCCCCACCCTTTAATAGAAGTTGCTGAAAACTAATCTTGCTTTATATGTTGTATATCTTGAACACATTATCATTTTTGAATATGTATGAGGAAATATATATTAATAAAGAAGACAAAAGCATAAAGTAGTTGTAATTTTTAAAAATCTGCATGAATTCATTTTAGTTCTGTATATAAAGATTTCTTTTCAAGTTTGTTTAGTTAAGGTGTAGAGTGTTTTGCCTTATGCCCTTTGTGCTTGACATTTTATAAAAATTCTGTTGTTATCTTTTTTTAAGATTTTTATTTGGGAATTGGGGGAAGGGGAACACACAACTTGCTATCTTTTTTTGTTCTTCAGTCTAGTTGTGGAGTTTGTTGCTTCACTGGCCCAAG